TAGAATTGAAATTTTACAATTATCAGGAAATTTTAAATATAGATAAATAGCAATTACTATCAAATATTTGATAACTATTGATAATTTTTATCGATAGTTACTGGTATAGGTGATTATTAACAATAATTACTATTATCAATTTAAATCTAATTGTTAAATTTCGATAGTCAACTCTTATCAATTGTTCTTGATAAATTATTTATTGATAGTAATTGATTAGGTAATCAATTTAAATTAATTACTATTAGATTTCAATAGCCAACTTTAAAATTTTTTTGATAAATTTTTCTATTAATAGTAATCGATTAGGTATTATCTAATCGATTTAAATCAATTACCTAATTGATTACTATTAATAGAAAATTTATCAAGAATTAACAATTAATAATTTAAATCAATAATGGTAATTATCATTAATAATCATCTATACTGGTAACTATCGATAAGAATTATCGATAGTTATCAAATATTTGATAGTAATTGCTATTTATCTATATTTAAAATTTCCTGATATCAATGTTCTTTAAGTAAGATTTCATGTTTTTCTGTTTTGGTTAAAATTTGGATATATGCTGCTTTTGTTGTGAAATTCGGTTGCCAACTAATAATATTAGCTTTTCCAAAATACTTTAAATATTTTTTAATTTTATATCCACTTATCCCTTTTGGAAGATCCCATATAGTAAATAGATATAGTGGTCTTTTTGTAAGGAAAACTATGCTTTTGGTACTCATGTTGAGCTATATATATCTTTATTTAAGATATTAGATTCGCTGGCTTTGCTTGTAGATATCCAGACTAAGCACGAATCCAGGATGTAGGATTTATTTTCTGATCACGTGAAAATCAAAAAATTCTTTTAAATTCGTTTAGATTAGGATTAGGTTTATGCTAAGGTTAGGTTTAGAGGAGTTTTAATAGTAAAATCACTCAAGAAAATCTTTTTATTAAAGCACTTAAGGTAGTTTCTTATACTGCTTTTTGAAAAACAAGCGATTTTTGACAAAATGAACGTTTGTTTTGAATTTTGCTAATCATATTACATTACACCAAATCGTGATTATTCATTGGATAATTTGCTATAGATCATTACGTGTTCAGAAAATCTGACCTACATCCTGATGCTATTCAGACTGAGTTAATGATATTTTCTTGCTTTTTAGCTTTTTTGCTACTTTTGTTTATTATCTGTTCATTAACAAATATGTTATTTTTTTCCAGTGATTCTAAAATTCTATAATCTAATATGCCTAACTCTTTATTTACTAATAGATCTTTTTTTGTTTCTACTGTAATTTCATCTGTATCAATTATGATTTTCTGCTCTGTATAGTTTTTTTTCTAGTTGTTAGTTTGCTTATCAATCTGTATGTTGTTATTTATGTTTTTAATATAACTTCTTCTATAATTTCCATATTGTGATTTTTTTTCTTTAAAACAGGGGGTATAACACTATGAGTTTAATCCAAACTGGTTGATCTTTAGCACTATTGTTGTTATATTGAGCTTTGTTTATATTATCTACTTGTATATTGTTGTCAACCCAGAGTTTGAGCAGAATTTTTTCTTCCTCTTCTAATTCTTGTTCTTTTGCCTTTTTATATTGAGCCCAATTGTAGTAACGAAGAATACTGCAGATAATTGCAATAAGGTAGATTTCGCTAGTGCCTAAATAACTCACAACTATTTTATCCTCTTCTCAAATAAAACTGTTTTTCTTGTATTGATACTCTTTCTTTTTCTGATTTGTTAAAGAAATTTTTGTAATCTGGAAGTTCTAACATTTTACATGTTTTGTTTGTTTTGTTTTGTTTATTTGTTCTAGTTTCGCTACGTGTTTGTTTGTTGTTTTAATGTTTGTTTAAAATCTAATTGTTGTTCTATCTAATTTGGCTATCTATTTACTTCTTACGCATTTTGTTTGTTTGTTGTATTGTTGATCTGCAAAAGAATATACAAGCTAAATCCCTAAAAATTTCTAAAAATTTGTCGAAGGTTCAAGTTTTCTTTGTCTATTGCAAAGAGAGTACTGTTTGTAGCTAAACTGTTTTAGTAAACTATATTTAATTTTTCTTGCTTAGTCTTTTTTTTAAAGAGTAATTTGGGTATTTTCTTAATAGGATTTTGCTCTTGTGGTCAAAATTTCTTAGCTTCAATTTTGGTCAGAGTGATCGACAAGAAGAGTTGATTGTTATTATGGATACTATTTTTGTATATTATCTATTTTTTTTTTAAATTTAATTAAACAAATACATAGCAATTTTTTTATATAAATATATGTTTCATTAAAATAAATATTTTTAATATGTAATAATTAAAGATTTTTAAAAGCAAAATCGAATTCATTTATTTAATTGATAATCCATTTGTCATCTGGAGGAGATTTGCAAAATTTTATAAATAAAGTTTACTATTGACAAAAATATAATGAGCCTATATCTAAAACTTTTTTTTTACTTAAACAATCAATCTTGTCACTTAATTAAAAGTTGTAAAGCTCATCAATATGTATCTAATGGTGGTAAGAGTATCAAAATCAGCCTAGTAGCTCTTAAGATATCTTTAAAAAATGTCTTGCATATATAAAAAAATTTTATATATATACAAGATGTTTTTTAAAGATATCTCAAGAACCACTATGCTGATTTTAACGCTCTTGCCATCATTAAATGCGTTTTGATGAGTTCTACAACTTTCAATTAATTGACAAAATTGATTGTCTTAGTAAAAAAAAGTTTTAGATATAGGCTTGCTATATTTCTGTTAATAGTAAACTTTACTTATAAAATTTTGCAAATCTCCTCCAGGTGACAAGTGAATTATCAATTAAATTATTTTTAATTACTAAATATAGTTATAAAATTTTAATTGAAATAGAAATACGCAAAATAAACTTACAAAGTTCAAAATATTTTAATTTGAATAGAATTAAATTATATAGTTGTTTTAAAAACTTTAATCTAATAATAATATCAAAAGTAAAATAAAGCAAATATATTAAATAAAATACAAAATATTCAAATTCATTAATAATTAATTATATTTAAATTTTTTTAATATATGAAAATTAATATCTTTATTATTCGAATTAATTTGAATTAAATTATACTATTCTAATTTTCCTTTTGCTTATGAGTTTAAGTTATATAATGCTTAATATTTTATTTATAAATAAAATTCAGTGATAGTCTAATTTTAATTTCTTTAATATTGAACATTTTTAAATAATTTTTATATTTTGATTTATTTCTTTTTTAATTATTTCAAACTATTTTAATTGATAGTCTGCTAGTTACCTGAAGAAAATGATCTACATGCATTAAATAAAAATGATACAATTTATATAATGAAAATCTTAATATAGAAATATAAGGATTTTTGCATATATATAATGATAACAATAATATAATTGGGTTAGTATCAGGCTTTATAAAGTTTTTGTTTAATAATGATCAAGTATATAATTTAAAAATTATTTGCCATATTGCTATATTTTGGCTTGTTCGTATATTTATTATACCACATTGATCTTCCTTTATAGTACTCTCTATGTAAATATCTAAACACAAACTACAGAAATCTAGTAATTATAAATTTCTTTTAAAATTAAGCTCTTACTTGAAAAAAATATCAACTTAAAACTGTTATACCGTGAAACTGTAATCGGACTCTAATTAATTAGATAAATTCACAAGCCTAGTTAAATAATATATGATCTCTAGATCTAAGTGAGAAGTTATAAAAGTCAAAATATTACATAGTACTTAAGTAAGTTTTGGTTATATATAGTATAGTAGTTTTATTTCATTTAAAATATGTAATTTTACTAACTTAAAAATATATTGATCTTTAAGTTCAAGTGGGATTCAGATATTGGAAATTATGTAAGTTGTGGCTAATACAATATATTTATTGCTTACTATAACTCTCAGAAAACAATATAAAAATAAATATATAGAGTAAGAACTTAATTAATGATTGCATTAAAGAATTTCAACTTAAATTTTTAATATTCAAATATCAATAAGAGAGATTTGACCAATGTTTTTAGCAATGTTGTTAGATGGTGTTGTGCTTATCAAAAGTGCATATACAAGGGCCTCATATATTAAACTCATCTTTATTTTTTACTAATTTTTTTATTTTTTTTGGGTGATATATAAGAGACTCTGGTTTTGTATACACACTTTTATAGTAAGTCCTTATCTGGTTTGCAAAAAAATTGTTAATTTTAAGGTAATATTTAATTTTTTTTATTTTACACATTATATTAGATATATAGGCTAACTCAAAACACAACTATTAATGAATTATTAGAGTGTTTGCCCAGAAGTGTTAAATAAGCAACTATATACAATTATAGCAAGCATTTATAGTTTAGTATTATTATGGCTAAAATGACTGAAATATTTATATAAGATCATCTTATTACTATATTAAGTATGATTAAGCTAGCTATTTTTGAATGCTATATCCTTAACATACAAGATGCTACAAAAAAACTTCAATAATTGTTAAATTAAAGGTTATGGTATGATTTTCTACAAGTCATTTATTTGACATCAAGCTAAGTAACAATTTGCTTAGAATATATATATCTGCAACTTATCAATGCTAATTCTAACTTTATGTGATGTTAGTGACTTATATTAAATAGTGAAACAAAAAAATCAAAAATTCTATAATGATTTATTTTATATCGTTTTTGAAATGCTGGTGAAATTATAGCAGTCTGCAAAAAGGTTGTAATTTCATAATAATGATAGTAGAAAAATTTCAGATTTTAATTCTTATAATTTTCAGTTAATATCATTTATGTTTTATTTGAAATCTTTAAATTCTCTAATAATTAAAAATCTAATAGAATCAGCTGATTTTGATTTACAAAGATCACACCTTTTTGCAAACCACTATAAACTTGAATTTCATTACTATAATGAAATTGGGAAATTTGTAAAATTAAAATTTTACAAGTATTTCTATTTTTAAGCCTATCTTATTATAGGGAACCGTTAAAGCAGGGTGCCATCACGTAATCTGATGTCATCAGCCGACCTAATTTAAAGACATCCGGAGACACGTCGGTTATATGATAAGCTGAAATTGTCTATTGAAATTTAAGAATCTAATAGAAAGGTGCAAAATTTTATTTATTTATTTTATTTGAAATTCTGTTAACACTAAATTTGCTTTAATAGTCTTTTTTTTGATACACAAAAAATAATTCATCACATGATCTTTTGGTGCAATGCCTACCCAACTATCATTAATTCTATCATACCAAAGTGCACGATATAGTAACGCTATTTTGTGTTCTGTTGATAATCATGCTGTCAGTAAAAAAAAAGTGCATAATACACTGTTGCAAACTCATCTCTTTAATTCTTTTAATATTATTTATTTATTTATTCTGCGGCTTTTTTATAATATTCAAACTATTTTTTTTTTTTCTATTTATTTATTTTAGAACGGGGTCTAAACAAATTTTCAATCTTTGAATGAATTCAGCCTTTTCTATTTTATCTCTATTTTTCTCGATACTCCAGTACTGGTTATGTATTCTTTTTATTAATTTATTAATAGTGAGCTTTTTTTTTTTTGCTGCTTTATCGATTTCATCTTTTTCAAATGATTCAAAATTTACTAACTCACAGCATTTATAAATTTCGAATCCACCTTTATCAAACAGTCATTGGAATTGCTTCCAAGCATCAATCGTTAGCAATTTTTTGGGACCATATTTTTGTTCATGAAAAATATATTTACAGGGGAGCATATACTTGTGAAAAAAAGGCAGTAGCATTCAATTAACATTAAACCGGGCAATTCCTTCCTCTTTTTTATTCTATTATTGGCAGCAAAAATTTCACCAACTATTAATTTTTGAATTGAAAAAGGAAACTTGTAAATTTTCTTTAAAGTATCATCATCAATATTAGGAGTGGAAATTTTTTTCACATAAAATTCAAATGCAATATAATCCGAGTCTGAACGTTTTTTCAAGTCAAGTACAACAATCTTGTCACATGCTTCAATTAAATCATAGTAAAGGCGAGTGTTTTCTTTAACTTGCTATAATATGATTCTAAAGCGTTCGTCGATATTACTTGCAAAAGTAGTAGAGAATGTTGGCGGGCCAAAGTGCCCACTAGTGAGAATTTTTCAAATAATTCCTTGTGATATATTTTTTAATAGAAGAGAGAGCACATTTGTTAATCGATTTTTGGATAAACAATTCACAACCAATTTTCATTCATTTATGCATAGCCTAAATCATCTTATTCCGAGTTTCTGTTTCATAGATTTTATTTATCCAGGTTTGCATAATGTGTACAGTGCAAAAAATAACTTCGCATTCCTGTTCACCTTTTTCAAGACCTGGGAAAGTCACCATAATACTTCTAGCTTTTACACTGCTTTGGTCTAATAGAAAGTACTGAGGTTTCCAAGAGCTACAAAATAGCCGCATTATCCTCAATACCTCTGCAACAGTCTCACTATCTTTGTTACTAACAAAAAAATGCCCACTGACATCCCAACAACCATATTCGTCCCGAATATACAACATAAACAAACGCCAGTCATATTTATTCATTTTATGCGTGGAGTCCATTAGCATTAACCATCCATATCTTTGAAGCTTTTCAAGTTGCTTTGGATGTGCAAAATGAAGCCATGGGTAGATTGGTGATGAATTCTATACAATTCGATTTGATAGCCCTCTTTTTTTAAAAAAGAAATTGCATCCCAAATATCCTGTGCTAGTTTAAAAGCATCAGTTAAATAGATATTTTGAGGACCATGAACCTTATATTTTATATTGGCAACTTCCATCTGCCTCAATTTCTTTACACTCATGCTGAGATCCAGCTTTTCATTTGCATATTCTTTAACCACACTAACTATTGTGGGCATGAGATAATTCTTAACTGCTTTCTTTTCTACCAAAACCCAAGCAGCTTAGGAGCATTTTAATTTTTTACTATCTTCTAGTTCATGTTTATAATCAAGGGAATTTTGAAAACATTTGACAAGCACTTTTTGGGTGGTAAAAAACCATAATACTTTTATTTTTGCAAAACATAAACCCGCCTCTCGAACCTTTGTTTTTCGCCATTTCTCACTTGAAACATTCTCTTTGTGCATGCTTGATTTTAAATATTTATTAAAGCGGTATACAAAGGTTTTCTAATAATTTCCATTAACATGGTTCTTAGAACTAAATTTCACTAAATTTCACTCAAACGTTTGTGACCAAAGGCCACCATTCTGCATCAAATTCGTTCATCGGCACTTTGAACGGTCGTTAAATATTAAAAAGCAGAGTGCGTTTTTGGTTAGGCGTAAGGCTTGAATTTATTACAATAATATTTGTTAGTTCAGGACATAGTTATGGGAAACTGGATGTTTGCTGCAAGAGGTCTTGTGTGAAGTTCGTGTTTTTGATTTCTTTACTAGAAATACTCATTATTTTTTTTTTTTGTAGGCAGAATGTTCGTTATTATAATTTTTTTGTAAATTTACTTTGTGTTTGTTATTATAATTTTTTTTTTTGTAAATTTACTTCTATTATTAACGCTTTTTTTTTTTTTTTTTTTTTTTCTTCTTTAGACCATCATTCTAATATACCGTCTTTACTGACTAATAGACCTTTGTAAAATTGCAAAACGCTGTATGTATTTGTTTTCTTGTACAAAAAAGAAAAGTTTCATGCCAATATGCCTTATATATGAAATTTGCCCCAGATTTTGGCAAAAAATTTCTTGAATTTGATTGGTCATTGTATCAAATAATAATAGCTCTAACTTCTAGATAGACAGGTCAACAACCACCGGATCATGTGATAGCACCTTGCTTTAACGGTTCCCTTATTATAGTAATAGAATTAATTAGAATTTCAATATGGCTAGCTATAAAATTTTAACTTAATAGATTTGTTAATAAACTCAATATATATTAATTAATAAAATGTGTATGATTATAACTAAATTAAACTTTTTTATTGAATTTAATTATCAAATTTACTACATTCTAAAAAGATATTAAATAAGACAAATCATTTTAGCCACAAAAGAAAAAAGATAATATTAACATATGATATTCTACAAAAATTTGTAATATTAAAAATAATAAATTTTTACCTTTATGTCTTTGTAAATTTTAAATTCACTCATATTTGGGAAAAAAGTTTGTACAGTATTTCATACCTGAAAGTGCTCTTAATAAAATTGTTATAGTATTACAAGTAAAAAAAAACTAGTCAATTTGTGTACAAAAGATCTTTGCCACTTACATAAGTTCCTTTGCATAATAGAGTAGAGATCCGAGTAGAAATAAAAATTATATAGTTACTTAATATATATAATCTTTAATCCAAAAAGGCTGAAATCTAATCTCATTAGACTTAATTTATTATAAAAAAAAAAAGATCTTAATATTCCAATGTCAACAAAGATAAAAAAATAGATTTTCAATATAAAAATGTAGGTTTGCTTGTTTAAAATCATAAGGGCAAAGTTTAGGGTTTCATATAAGTATAGAGTTATATTAAAATAGTAATTTATATAGGAAATAGCGGGAAATGCCACGTTTATACAAAGTAAACTTCTTCAAGAAGAATTTTTATGCATAGTGGTTTTAATATCAAAAATAGGGCTATTAATGGAATATTATACTCCAGAGTAATTTAGGAGTATAAACCACTTCATGCTAGTGTAGTTTGTATACTACACCATTTTAGATTGCTATAGAAATTAATTAGATTGGTTTATACTTCAGAGTTATTTATTTATTTATTTTTTTCCTTTGATAACCGTGTACTAAAATTTTATTAAAAGTGTTACACTTAATACAAGACCAAGCTATCTAATAGGTAATTAGACTAAAGGCCGGCTGTCTCTTAGAGATGCCCAACCTTGGTTATCGCACTGATGTTGGCCACTATACCCCACATACGGTGCACCATATTTAAAGATATAATCTAGCCGGGGCTCAGCTTCCACCCCAGGACCTCTTTTCCTTTCTAATTCTTTCTTCTTCTCAAGGGGCACGAAACAAAAAAGAGGGAAAAGTTTAAACCAAGAAAACAAATACGAAAACGACCAAAAAGAAAAACAAATAAAACAAGAAAAAATAAACACAGATTATGAAAAAGAAAAAACATGAAAAAAAAACTAAGACCCTAAAGGCACTATTATAACCCATGCAAGGTTGGTAAACATTATATAATAAATGCAACATTTGTATATCTCTTGTAAAGGTAAAGCTTCATTTTAATATTAAAGTTTACTTTCCGACCTTTCTACTAACTTCAGATGGCTCCATTGTCCGAGGCCCCATATTAAGGCTACCTCTACCGTAATTGGAGTTCCCGGGCCAAGTCCCATGCAGTAGCACCATATCCGTCCATAAACAAACACATGGTTGCAATCTACTAGTCCGTCCGAATTTGAGAAGTAAACAATGCTGATCTTTTGGAGGGGTAAGCCAAATCTCTACTTTTTGTCAAAAAAATTTTGAAAGAAGGGCAGGGAAGTGGAAAAAAGATAGAAAGCACCACTTGGCCAGGAAAAAAGAGTGTAGCTTAAAAGAAACCTGTTCTTTACTGTTCTTCAGTTGTTTTGCAACCGATAGCTTCATTGACAGAAGGCTTGGACTATATCACCTCTACTTAACTACCAAAATTTTGTATACAAGGGCACCCTCTTCTGCCAGTTATCTTGTATACTAATATTTTTGGCTTGTATGTCAAATATATAAAGGAGTCCCCGATAGTAGAGAAAAGTTAACCTTTATAAAAACCGCCCTGTTAATTCACCTTACTACAGGTTATTACTACTCTCCAGTATAGAAAATAGGTATTTCTTTTCGTCAGAAAATTTGGTCCAGTAAAGCAATTCAATATAGTTTATTTAAAGAATATATATATTTATTTATAATACAATATTAAAAATACAAAGCTATTAATAAATATTTGTATTTAAAGAATCCTAATAACTTAAGATTGTAGAGAACAAATTTTTTTTTTTTTTATAAACAATTCTGCTTTTATTTATATAAACTACTATATAACTATTATACAAAAATTGTATTATATTCCTATAGTGTACTGTTCTGATTTAATAAAAACTTATCAGGTATTTACCTAATATGATTTGCTATAACAACTATTTATTTCTCTTGAAATCCTTAACTTGCTAAGAATTATATTATATATTGATACCTTCCTTGATTATTAATTGGCCATTGTATACTGTATTAGAATTGAATTGTTTAACTTTTTTTTCACACTTTGCTTAGCAAAGATCATACTGGTTTGTTACTTCAGGAGATTCACTCTTCAATTATTTTTTCTTTCTCTTTTATTATTTTAAG